ACAACCTAGGACTGTTAGAAAATATTTACAGACAATGCAACTGACAAGGGCTTAACTTCCAGAATATGCCAACAGCTCAATAACAGCAACAAAAAAAGCAAGCAAGCAATCAAAAATATGGGCAGAAGACCTAAACAGACATTTCTCTAATGAAGACATATAGATGACACATGAAAACATGCTCAGTATTGCTAATTATCAGAGAAATGCAAATCAAAATTACAGTGAGGTACCACCTCATGCCAGTCATTAAAAAGTCCACAAACAATAAATGTTGAAGAGGGTGTAGAGAAAATGGAACCCTCCTACACTGTTGGTAGGAATGTAATTTGGTGCAGCCATTATGGAAAACAGTATAGAGAGTACTTAAAAAACTAAAAAAGACTTACCATATCATCCAGCAATCCCACTCCTGGGCGTACATCCAGAGAAAATTCCAATTTGAAAAGATACGTGCACCCCAATGTTTATACCAGCTCTATTTACAACAGCCAAGACGTGAAAGCAACCTAAATGTCCACTGACAGATGATTGGATAAAGAAGTTGTGGTGTATGTACACAATGGAATACTACTCAGCCTTAAAAAATAATGAAATAATGCCATTTGCAGAAACATGGATGGACCTGGAGATCATCATACTAAGTGAAGTAAGTCAGACAGAGAAAAACAAATATTACATGATATCACTTAGATGTGGAATCTAAAAAAATGAGCCAAATGAAGTTATTTACAAAACTGAAACAGACTCACAGACATAGAAAACAAATTTATGGTTACCAAAGGGGAAAGGAGGGGAGTGATAAAAATGAAGAGTTTGGGACTAGCAGAAACTAACTACTATATATAAAATAGATAAACAACAAGGTCCTACTGTATAGCATGGGGAACTATACTCAATATCTTATGATAACATATAATGAAAAAGAAATGTGTGTGTGTGTATATATAATATATATATATATATTACATATACACATATGACTGAATCACTATGCTGTACACCAGAAACAAACACAACATTGTAAATCAACTATATTATAATAAAAAAAGAAAGAAAAAGAAAAAGTATGATCTCATTTATATGTGAAATCTGAAAAAAAACAAACAGACTTATAGATACAGAGAACAAATGGATGGTTGCCAGAGGGGAGGGGAGTGGTGTGGTGAAATAGGTGAAGAGGATTAAGAAATGGAAACCTCCAGTTAGAAAACAAATAAGCCATGAAATGTAATATACAGCATAAGGAATATGGTCAATAATATTATAATAACTCTGTATGGAGACAGATGGTTACTAGATTTGTTGTCCTTTCATAATGTATGCAAATGTCAAGTCACTATGTTGCACACCTGAGACTAACATAATATTGTACATCAACTATACTTCAGTTGAAATGTATCTGCTTTT